ATTCAACAATATATGTATTTTATTTTTTCAGTTCGAAACATGAACCGTCCGTTCTGGTTCACGATTTTAATAAACTCTAAATATCAGATTTCGATTCTAATAACAATAAAACAATAATAATAATAATAACAGGCGACGCCGACCCGCTGTGGGGGTGGTTGTTGTTGAGTTGACCCCGGAGGTCCTCCACCGCCCCTTGCCGATTCCTGTTGATCTAATCCCTTAGGTCCTCTCTCATCCCCACGGGCACGGTCTTCCGACTCGCCGTTGTCCCATTAGGATGGTTCATCAAGAAAAACGCCGTCTATACATATAATTGTTGAGATTACACGACATACATCGTGAGAATAGATGGCGGTTAGCAACCGCCGTGTTTTAGAAGTATACACGGCGGTTCAAATAACCGCCGTAGAATGTTTTTATTTACAAAGGCGGTCACTTACACGGCACTTCAAGAACCGCCGTGTATTTATAAAAATAACCGTCGTGGTAAGTGTGTTTTGTAGTAGTGGTGGGGGGGGGGGGGTGGACAAAAGGTAGAACATGATTTGTAATGCCGATACAATGCATGACTCCATTGGCGTGGCACATACGCACCACCTCAGCAATAGTCTTCGCAACTCCGGCGGCGGCTCTTTCACTGTAATGCCCACGCGCCACGATTCTATCGAACAGCTCGCCGCCCTCGCAGAGCTCCACAACCACGTGGACGGGCTCGTTGTCCTTGTACATTCGTACGTGGCTCAGAGCTTCACGATGTTCGCATGGTCCGCTAGGCTCGACATAATTATATATGTTAGAATAATTAAATTTCTAGAATAAGATAATGTATTTATTAGTTAAAATATCGTACTTTATGTATTAAAATAATATATTTTATTAGTTAAAATAATACTCTGTATATTTTATATGTGTTTGGACCGTCAACACGCAATAATGATTCCTAATATATTCACCAAATTTAATCACTTTTGTTTGTCTTTAAAGTTTAAAGGGCTTATATACTAGGCTTGATCCATATTGGAGTAGGCCCAAACACCGTCATCCCAATAGATATTGCGTGGGCCGTAGTCCACACAGTTGTGTAGACTACTATCCAAAAACAACGTTGTTCTGCGTTTTTTTTTTTCACGCGACTCATTATAACATACATTTTTGTAACTCATAATGTATATTATTCTAAAACATAATGTATATTATTCTAACTCATAAAATATATTATCCGTTAAAGTACGTACAAAGTCCACATACTATAGGATTTTGTTTAATTTAGTCCTTGTGTCGTTATTTTGTTCAATTTAGTCCATGTACTTTTAAAAATGATGCAATTAAGGACAATAGTTAACATTGTTAATATTACCGTTAACTTATCTTATGATATTTATATTCCTACTCATATATTACTTAATAAATATTTAAAATTAATTACTTTTATCCCTAATATATTAAATTAGTATGTCTAAAATAAATAATTACAACCATGTTCATAATGAGATTTGGACAATTATCTTTAATTTCACCACTTTTTAAAATAGAACTAAAGTAAAAACAGAATTAATGTACAAGGACTAAATTGAACAAAAAACTATAGTACATGGATTTCATAGGTACTTTGATCTATATTATTTTACGTTTCATTATTTTAACACATAATGTACATACATAATGTACATCATTTTAACATATACAATACGCTATTCTAACTCATAAAATTCAAGTATACTAATCCATGTTCCACACATTAAGTTGCCCCGTCATCCTCTTTTCATCTCGTCGCCTTTCACTGGATGAAAGACTGAAGGAGAAGCCATAACCGGGAAAAAAAATGATGATAAACTGTGTGCAATGTCCCGTTTGGAAGAATCCAACAATTCTGGCCTCCTCTTCTTCAACCTTGTTCCGTTGTTTCCAAACGCGGCCTTGGACGTGCAGAGAGGCCAATCAATTGAAGTGCAATGGTGAAAGCATAAGAAGGAAGAGGAGAGGGAGAAGAGCTGTGGATTGTCAAGGATTTCTGTTGCCAGTGGATCCATGGGCGCCCAATGTCGATTCTCAGAGCATAGCTTCGCAGCTCTTCGCTTTCTCCCTCTTCCCTTATCTAGGTTTCCTGTATTTCATCACCAAGTCCAAGACCGCCCCTAAACTCACCCTCTTTGGCTTCTACTTCTTGCTTGCTTTTGTCGGCGCCACTAGTAATTTCCTTATCTCTTTCCCTCTTCCTCGAATCGAATTGAATTGAATTGAATTTCTTCTAACTATATATCCTTAGTGCCTGGAATTTGTTAAAATTGAGGTGATATTCGTTTTGGTAGTAAGATTTACGGAGTAATAGATTGCTAGCAACTTTAATTTCTGCAGCTAGTTTCATCTATGCTGTATTTGGACTTGAAATAGTTGAAAATATTAATTGTATTTATCTTGCTGTAATTTTTATTTTTTTTTTTCATTTTATTCTGCTTTTAGCATTATGTTAACTGTAACACTGATCTTTCCTTGTGGTTCTTTCAATGCTTCAACTCTGCCATACAGTTCCAGCAGGCATTTATGGTAATTTCCTGCCACTTTATGGATTTATTTCTTGAAAATGATTTTCGTCTTTGGATTATGCATTCTGACTTTGATATGCTGAATCTGAAACAGCTAAGGTGAAGTATGGAACTTCACTATCCAATGTGGATTGGTTGCATGGAGGAGCTGAGTCATTGCTTACTTTAACCAACTTATTCATTGTGTTGGGGCTGAGAGCTGCTCTTAGGAAAAGTAGTGATGGTATAGATAGGAAATCCATTGGCGCTTCTGAGTTCAAAGAAAAAAATCCGTTACCTTAAAAAGAAGTTGCTGTCTTTTGCTCTTTCCTCTTCCCTTCATACAATTGAATTGCCAAGTATCTCTCTGTAGTTATGCATTCAAGCACTTGACGTGTTTCTCTGGCTACAATGTTGAATTTTCTGCGGCCTAATGATATGGAGATCATGAACTGCTCAGTTTTGAATGTGAACTCGGGAAGACATTGAAGTTGGTTTCTATCTTCTGGTGCTACATGTTTATTTCACACCTTAGTTACCTCATTGGTTTTGCTCTTGACCACTTTATTAGGTCCTTTTGCTGTATATTCATCTGTTATATCTTCTTGTAAGGAATCTTTAATGTAATGTTTCTCTTAAAGATTTACTACTTTCGATGTCTTGTCTTCCTGCTCGCTGCTCCTTGATTCCTACAAATTGTCTTCTCTGTGATTTTTGGTGGTCATGCCTTGTTACGAGTATGGTGGCTAAAGGTTTATTCTGATATTTGCATAAGTACACACAAAATCTTTATATTTATATAAGAGACAACAGCAGTGATTTTTTTTTTTTTTTACAGCTGCACAGGTTGTGATTTCATAACAGGTACTTATCCGTGGAAATTTCTAGTTTAGGTGGTACAGACATCTTTGTAGATGCCAAAATACTAAATTGAATGAAATTGAACCCAAATGACTACTATATCGTTGTCTTTCTTACCGCTTTATCTAGATTGGATCATGTGAAAAACTGTGAGGTATCGAATGGGAAATTTGGATCAAAATCTGCGGGGTCCAGTGTGTACTCTAAGCCCACAATTGGAGAGTTTGTCGATGATGTATTGGCAGAGAATATGTCAGTAAGGTCTGACTCAGAGTGGTGCAAATTCTGAACTCCCCCAAAACTGCTAGTCTGTTGGTGTGACACAGAGAAGTAGTTTGACTCTGGAGTGGTAGGACTAGGAGACACAAAGGATGGTGAGTATGTCCCCAAGAGATTATCATCAACCTGTGAAATCTGAAACATCGGCTTTTCATCTGTTAATCCAGAGAATGATGCAGGGAAGGAGAAAGGATATGCTGTTTCCTTCCTTTCCAAGTCACTGGTATTGACTCTCAGGTTTGATCTTAATTCCATTAACATCTGATTTGGTTGCATTGACAGACTGTCATTGCAGTGGATGCTTTGTTTCAGGTCTTGTTTCTTGGGTGATGCTTGCGGTGGGACTGATTTCGGTGCTTGGCTACATGTATGTTCCCCTTTGTACGTGATCTCGAATGTGGTTGGATCTTCATCAGATCTTTGCACCTGTTTTGTTGCCCAACAATTCTGCATTGCACGGTACGTACATCTGTAATAGCTTCTGCAAAAATGGATGTCTTGGCATTAGAATGAAGGAATTAATTTTATAGAATTACGATTACCACCCAACAGCTTTCTATTTAGTCCATAAATAAATTACCTCCAGTTAATTATGTCGATTTCATCCTAGTTGAGTCTACTATTTTTAGTGTCAGAATTTGACTTTTTTTTTTTTTTTTGGAATTCTGTTTTTCACCTCTCTGTTTAATGTTGATTGGCTTTTATGACTTTTATGGTGTACAGGTGAATAGAGTAATCAACTAACCTGGGATATTTAGCTCCAAGAATATCTTTCTGCCCATACTTTCTCCAACTATACCCATCTTCAGGTGGACCTTCAAGTCCATTATCAGTGCCGACTTTCACTTGCTTTGTCCACGTTGGCATCAACTTTCTGCAAAACAAATCAGGAAGCAGGTAAGATCACCTAGAAATAGAAATTCAGGCTATTCACCGCATTAGAATATGAATTTCAAGAATCATGGTGATATTCCATACCTCTTCTTTGACATATCTCTGTACTCCTGTTCCTTCGAGCCCTTGTTCATGTCATCACTTCGCGGGCTTCCATCAACAGAGATGGACGACTCGGGGGCACTAGACAGCGGTGGCACCTGCTGGGATTGCGTTCCCAACCCACAGTTGAGAATCATGAGTGACTTCTCATAAGAAGCCACTATCTGCTGCAAGAGCGAGTTCTGAGTTTCGAAACAAGTTTCGGAGTTGAAAGAAGCTCTAAGCCGCTTGGTACATTCAACCCCTTGTGTTAGCTCATTGATGAGAGCCTTGAATTCCCAGCCTAAAGCGGCATCCATTTTGCGTGATCTTTTGTCAGTTGCCAGATGCCGAACAGGTATGTGCAGCTCTAGTTCATTCCAGGTGATCAAGAACTGAACTGATTGAATATGGAAATGTTTTTTTTTTTTTCCTTTTTTTTTGTTGTAGGTGATGAATTGGGTTTTGGAGTGTTTTAAGGATATAGGGAACAGAGAGAATATTGGTGAGGATGAGAAAGAAGAGAAGGAAGGGAGAGGTATATAAAGAGAGGGAGTGGGGCATTAAGAATTGATTGATTATTAGATATAGTACAGAAAGGCATGTGGAAAAAAATTTGAGAAAAAGGGAAGTCAGTGAAAAGGGTTTGAAGTTTGACTGAAGAAACCGAGTGGTTTTTTTTATTCTCTGCGCGGACCGGTCTTTGGTCTAACATAAATAGGAATGGGAATGGAAAATGGGAATGGGAAAGGGAATCATAATAATGAACGGTGAGAAGTGAGAATGGGAATGGCCAAAGACCAAAGTGCCCCAGAGATGAGTGCTGACCAATTCAAACCCCCACAACACTCCCAACTCTCCAAATCAAATATTGTGTCTTTTCTTGGCTTATATTGAAACAAACAAACAACTTGCTTAACATTACTACTTATTACCTATTCAAATACTAAATGTTGGTCCTCTTTTAGGTCATTATTCTAACTTGACCCAAATGGATTTATTTTCACTTACAATTTCATACAAATCATTGATCAAATTCTTAGAATATTGTATTTTTTTTAATTAAAATTCAATAATATTACATCATATATAGTAGTTATTTATGTTTGTTGGTAGATTATGATGTAATAATTGTAATATAATATTTAAGTACTGTCTTTGATTTGAGAAAGAATATCTATTATATATATTTTTTGAAAGGAAACATTATAGTTTTAGTCTCTAAATTATTGGGCAAGTATAATTTGGCAAATTATGCTCTGGACCCGTGTCCACATTGAATTGTGGACACGGGCCCAAAACGACGTCGTTTTTAAAAAAAAACGCGTCATTTAGTTAAAAAAAAAAAAAATTTCGCGCGTGTTTTGCCGTTAACGGCGTTATTATTTTTTTTTTTGATTATGAATGTACAGTTATGCCGTTATGAATGTACAGTTATGCAATTATGAATGTACAGTTATGCAATTATGAAATTATGAACACAGAGCTCTAACATTATGAACTTACAATTATGAACATATATAGTGATAAAATTATGACCATGGAGCTTTAAAATTGTGAATATAGAGCTTCGAAGATTATGAATGTACAGTTATAGAGTTATGAATCTACAGTTATGGAGTTATGAATCTACAGTTATGAGATTATGAATCTACAGTTATGGAATTATGAATGTACAGTTATTGATCGAATTATAAACAAAGAGCTCTAACATTATGAACTTACAATTATGAACATATAGTGATAAAATTATGAACATAGAGCTCTAAAATTGTGAACATAGAGCTTCGAAAATTATGAATGTACAATTATGGAGTTATGAATGTACAGTTATGACGTTATGAATGTACAGTTATAGAGTTATGAATGTACAGTTATAGAGTTATGAACGTACAGTTATGGAGTTATGAATGTATAGTTATTAACATATAGTAATAAAATTATGAACATATACTTCTATAACAAAGTGATCTGAAATTTAAAAAAAAAAAAAAAAAAAAGAAGAAGAGATAACAGTGCCTAACGGCACTGTTACCCGTGTCCAGCATGCTTGCTGGACACGGGTCCAAGGCATAACGATTGGTATAATTTTCTTTCTTAATTAACATGGCTTTGCAATGGTACTTCCTAATTAGTTACCAATGCGGGGTATTGTTATGATACATTGAGTTATTTTGGACGGTCTAAACAGCATTAATATAGAAATGACAAAATTGTATTGTTTGTTGGATTTTCTTGAACAAAAACTCAAACAAAATCCGACAAGTTCTTACTACACATTTGAGATGACTTTCGTGGATGATTAAGTCGATTTTGGATGGAGAAGAGAGCATTTGTTAGGATTAGGATTAGGATTAAAATCATTATCCATTAATATATAGTTGAAACAAATATGTGGCATTAAAAAAATTATTAAATAACTATCGATTACAACTCATGTCAAATTACTACAAAAAATATATGTAAATTTTTCTGGTCAAAATAACATTATTAATAAGAAAAATGACTAAATATACTGCCTTTGTGACTAATTAAGGAATGAAAATTATATTGTCTAATTAGGGGATGAAAATTACATTGTCTAATAACTCAAAGATTAAAATTATAATTTTTCCTTTTCTTTAATATGATTATTTAGATATGCGTGTAAATCAAGTTAAGCCATGTTGGATTTGGTTTTTAAAAATTGGATAAAATTAAGATATTTTAAATTTAAAATTTGGTATTAAATTACTAATTTTAAAATGTTTGAATATGATGGTCACTATATGCAAAAGTTAAGGACCTAGAACATTCCACTTTAAGTTAAATTATACGGAGTATATATGAAGGGAGGTCTATTACAACTTAACTCACAAGATTGAGAAAAACCCCGCCAATAGATACAAAAGAAATTCCATTTTCAATTGAAAAATGGAAAGAAAAAAAAATACTACTCCGTAATAACTAATAGATGAATAATTAATATGAATTATAAATGATTCATATATATTAATTTATAAATAAATGAAACAAATTCGATAGAAAAGGAACATTTTGTATGATGGAATCGCTCTCTGGCCAACGATCCGAGGAGGATCAAGATCTCCTTGTGCGGAGCACGAAGAAGACGAAACGGACGTCCGATGTGTTATGGGAAGCGGAGATGCGCACTGATGCTGAGGTGGTTATCGAAACTCCCATCGATGAAATGGTGGCGGTGGAGCCAGTGGAACCTGTGCATGGATCTCATGCTGTCGACGAAAGGGGCATGATAATACCAATGGTGATCGCATCTACGCAGAACCAGCCTCGCCGATCCTATGCTGATTGTCTCTCTAGCTACGTAAGCCCGCCACATGAGCAATCCGATGAGAATGATGAGGAGAGCTCTGAGGAATTTTCAGACGAGGAAGACGAGGACCCCTTGTGCCTTACGATACGATTGACAAAGGCCGAGGTTGAAGCAATCCGAGCACCATGGCGGAAGTCGCTTATTATAAAGGTCCTGGGCAGGCGCGTTGGTTACGCATTCCTCCTGCGAAGACTCATCTCCATGTGGAAACC